ATTTCTTTCTATACCTTTGTCATAAATTGGTTTGAAGCAGATGTGTTCATTAATTGAGTCTAATAGTGATTATAATTTGTTCTTTCTCTACTGCCTGGGATTTTATTCATCATAGAGACTTCATTTCATGAAATGCTTCTCTTGAAGGGTAGGCTTAGTGGGGCTCTGTCTTGCAAATAACTGAGATATTGAAGTCTATCCATTGTCAGTACAGGAGCATCACTAACGTTTGATAGTAAGGATCAGCAGGATTGGGCCCAATATTTTTGAATATTGTTCTGAAGTACCATAAATTTGCTGGTTTTCCATATGATAGGATATGCAAGAGCTTTTAGACTTCTGAGTTTTTACTGGAACTGTGGATCCTGTTTTTTTTCAGCAGCAACAAAAAGCCTAGTTGGCTCAGATAATGCTCATTGAATAGTACTCATGTAATAGCCACTTGGTACTATGTATATTGGTTTGAAAAGGCAATTGATATTTTAAGTTTATAACAAAATAGCTCTTCTTAAATACTTCCTTTTAGAAAAATTGACTGTATTTGTCACGCTCAGAATCTTGGCCTAAAAGCTTTTATTATTGTTAAGTCAAGCTCTTGCACTAATGATTAACAGAAATATTTCTGGAACTTAGTTTTTTACTTTATTGCCAATCATGATATTTGATTTTAAACATAAATGTTCTCAGCTTAGTTTCACCCTTGTTCCTTTCCTCCTTCTCTCTTGCAGTCTTTGGTGATTGTGTTGATTTCCACCCATTCCCTGAGTCTTTTATCTGTACACTAGTTCCTGCACCCAGATGTTTATGTACTAAAACAGATTATGGTTTTTGCCTTTTCCCTGGGTTACAGTGTGACATCTGTATTTAGTTTTTTGCTGCTGTTCTTGATTTCAAGTGTGTGCTGCCATCTATGGAGTAATCGTTGAAATAAAGCTGATGTAAAAAGATGTTTTACCGAAAGATTACAGAAAACAAGATCTAGCTAATGAAGGAGGTAGTAGAGCAGTTGGCCAGGTCTCAAGAAATCCTGTTTCTCTGTAGTCCCAGGTCTCACAGCAAGCAAGGTGAAAGTATACCATTTAGATAATCAGCAGCTTCTAGGAGTTAAGTTATTCGGTAAATTTATTTATCCTGGACAAACTCTCAGGGCAGCCTGAAAATTAGAATAAGGTTGCTTTGCCTCTGATCCTCTAACTCATTCCTTTTCCTTCCCCATTACCTTTCACATGTCCTATTTTTTCAGCAGTTTCCGAGGTCTGTTTATTACATCTTTCTTCAATCACTTTTCAAAGCTTAATTTTAATTCCTTATTGTTAACGGCCTTCATGTCCCTCCTCTGTGTCCAGTTTCAGCCTGCCAGGTTCCAGGTTTTCCTCTTTCATATCCCTTCAGAATGCAGTAGTGAAGATCAGTCCCCATTCTCTTTCTCTTGCATAACATTTTGTTGCTTGATATCTACTTCAGAGTTTTGCCTTTATTGCAATACATTTATTCAAGTTGGTCTGGAAAGCACTTGGACATTTTCTCTGGACTTTTATGAAGCGCCCGTGGGGTATCTGTGCACACATAGAAGCTGTCAGCTGTTATCTTGATACCGTTCATATGCTTTTCAGCTTGCAAATTTTTGACTAAGGATTTCAGTGCCTTACAACCTTGAATAGGGTTAGGTGTATGAGTTCCTGGCAACCTGACTTCTGTTCATTTGAGTTAGGAGATGTGACAGAGAACTGTGTCTTTAGGTCTTTCCTCAGCAATCAGTGTTGGGGTGGGTGTATATTTAACCACTACTGATTAAATACTTTCTTATACACAAGACATTAGAATCAAAAGGAAAATTTATCCTATATGGATGAAGCATTCTTAAAAATATCTTCTGACATTTTCTTCTTATTGCTGAACTTAGAAATTGATCTTATTTCCCAGCATCAGAGACAAAATGAAAAAAAAAAAAAAATCCTGAAGATTGATCAATGTTTTTCAAAACTGACTTTAAAGATAAAAAACAGTGCAGTTGTATTATTTGCTGTTATTTTATCACTAGTATCGTTCAAACATGGTGCTATTTGATTCTTAAGTTAAACGTGAAAATATTTCAGTTGTCTCCTACAGAGGCAAAAAAACTTAAGGAGGGACTTATTTAGTCAAACTTTGGTTTTCTTTTTAATCCTAATTTTGGAACTTTGAGTTCTGCAGAAACTGAAAACAGTTTCATATTTTAAGTGCCAGTATATAATTGTTCCATTAATCACAGAGACTTAAATAGAACAAATTATTACTTGTATTTGCAAATTATAAGCTCTGATCCTCCCTTCCTCCTGCGAATAGCAGTTCCATCTTGCTAGGTTGAAAGATCTGGACTTGAAAATTTGAAGGTAAGCTTAAGCACTTAATTTCCCCCATGGCAGACTCATAGTGCTTTGAATTTAGAGTCTTACTGTACAAATGCATTGGTTTATTAAACTTTTTTTTTTTACAAAAATGAGTCTGTTATTTCAGGTTTTTTGCTTGTTTATTTTTTCCTGATGGTCATTTCCCTTTTCTGTCTCCACTATTCCAAATAATATTAAGATCCCTTATTGATTTATTTAAAGGAAAGTCTTAAAAACTGTCTTATGAATATCAGTGAACCAATCCCTAAGCCATGAGTTTGGCTTAACAGTTGAGAGATTGTTTAAAAAATAATTTGCATTTTAATATTTCAGTTCCTGTTTACTTGCTGCCTTGGGTTTAGCCCTTTGGGCTCCTAGTTTCAAATTTCTCTCAACAACTGAGGGCTAGAAAATGTCCTCTTAGAGAAGAAGATCAAGATTCTCACATAATCGCTGGGACATGTGAGCTGGGGTTGAAAAATCCCTGATAAAATCCTCAATATTGGCAAGCCTCTGGTAATAGCATCTTTTGTTTTAAAGATTTATTTCATGAGCACAGAAAGACAGCTTTCTGCATACATTTCTACTGAACTGAATTTCTATCCGTAAGCTGGGCCAGAATGTCATAAAATAGGAAATGCACACCTATTAGTATGTAGACGCAGTTTTGGAGAATACAGGACTTAATCAGGTTCGCTGTCAGGCCAGTTACTTTTACGTCACTTTTTCATATTCCTTTAGTAATTGATAAATGTAGTGAGTTTGCTCCTCACCTCAAGTAGCTCTGTGCAGCAATATGTACGTTCATTGGGAACAGACAGTCTCTCTCTTTCATCATCAGCTTCGTTACAGACAATATGTGCTATCGCATAACGAGAGAGCTTGTACTTTCACCTGTCCTCTCCCTTTCCTCCTCCCTCTGTACTGTGAGAGAGAAGTAGCATGGCATATTGCCTAGCTAAAAGGTTATCAAGCCTGAATTTGTTACACCTCTGCATTTGGCACGCAAGCGTTTCCAACCACTGTAGGAATACATGGCTCATCACCACATGAAGCTGGACGCCCTGAGAGGATAGATGATATCGGATTGGTTTTCTTATTGCTCTGCAAACAATCAAACAGGCTTAAGCTATGCAATCTGATACTCCCTAATTGACAGCTTTTCCAAGGTTCATTTGTTAACTGAGAGCATGACATGTATTGAAGTTGTTTCTTCATAATGCATTTGGCATTAACAGGAGAAGCTGTCGAATGCCTCAGACATCAACATCTTGGCAATAAGATATTTCGCCTCCAGTTTTGACTTTCTAACTAGTGACTTTGTATTTGCAAGGGCATTTGGAATGAGCACATGAGAGGACAGAAAATACATTCCCCAAAAGAAAATTTGTGAGAAAGTATTTTTGCTGCGTGGGACATTTACTTGAGTTTTATGGTTCAATTGTTCTTTTGTCTTTTGGTATAAAACCTTGGTTTCTTGCTTAACAAAGTACTTGCTGAATATTCATTGGGTTTCAGAGAGTTCTTTTATTTTGGTAGATTAATAAATAGGCATATCTGATTTTATTTAGTGATGAAGAATTTGTGTGTAAAAGACATGCTCAAGGGTTTAACTTGCCTGTGCATCTACAAGAGAATAAAGTAAAAGTCCAAAGAAACCTGCATTTCAAAGAATCCTAACCTTCCCCCAGATAAAGCCAATGTTTGTTTGAAAGAATAAGTTACCTATATAGAGAGGACCAGGGATGATTTCTCCACTGATCTTGTCACTGTTTTGCATTTGCTGTTTTTTTATACCTACTTTTCATAAGTACTTTTTCTTAGTTTCTTAGAACACAAATTGTGCCAAAACTCTAACATTCAGCTTTTTTTTCTTTTTCGTTCTGTAAAAGATTTCCACTTTTGCACTTCCTTGCAGCTGTTCATATGCTGATGATACCTGGCAAGATGTTCACACAGGATCTGTAAATACTAAGAGCTTGGTCAAAAATCCATCATCATCATCACAAACTTTATAGTTACAAGATGTATTTATCTGAGATGTACAAAAAATGTGTTTTAATTTTGTTTTGGTGTTCTTGCTTAGTGTAAGCATGTTACTCTAAATATTTAGGTTAATTTCTCTAGCACCTAGTTAAGTTTCTGCACACATTCTTCCTTCTGGGAAGAGTACATGCCTAGAGAAATACATGACATTTTACAGATGTTGTCAAAATAGTGAAGGAGTTTCAGTGGTGATTTGACTAGCATTGTTTAGGAAGTGAAACACAGCTGTTTAGATGCGGGTGGAAAAATTAATGAATGGGTCAGGATGCCTTCATTTCACAGGAATAAAGAGCCTAGCTTTGACAGAAGTTCCTCTTCAAAAAATACCAGGGAAGAATGAACAAAGCCATATTCTGTTTAGAAAAGCCCAGAAACAAACTTTTTGAAAGCCCTGAGGTCTGGAACCTAAGCACACGTCTCTCCTCCCTCTGTAAATGTCAATGCAGCCAAATATTCCTGAGCCTTTGGGAGGCATTCTGGACTTGTCTCTGTCTAAGTACTTCCTGCTTTGTTTGCAAGGTCTGTTGGCAAATGCCGTTTGGCTCCGTAGCGAGCACTGACTCCAGAGGCACTTCTCTCTTGCAGGGCAAGCACAAGCTGCGTGTGGACACAGGAATGGAAGGCGCCTGGTGTGGCCTCATCCCCATTGGGAACCCCTGCGAGAGTGTGACCACAACTGGCCTCAGGTGGAACCTCAGTAAGTCAGGCGCCTCTGGGGTGGTGGGTCTGACATTATCCTAACCACACATTTACAGCAGTCTCATCAGTGCTGAAAGGCCTTATGTGTTTGAAGGTGGAGCACAGCATTGAATCCCTGCCAGGCCATTTTTCTTCTAGAAATGAAGGGGGTTTTTTAAAAAAAAAAAAGAAGAGAAATATATGTAAACCTGAGATATCGCAGGCAGAAATGTGTTTTCCATTTGGGAGTCATTGTACTGTTTAAATGGAACATTTGTTGAGGTCATGATACATTACCATCTTGATACATTGCCCTCCAGGGAGGGGAAGCTGCGAGTGCCTAAACTCCTGGTTATAAGCTATAAAGTTATAACAGATAAATAATAATGTGATACAGATTATTAAAGCTACCTCACTTCCCCTGAACTCCTTTGCGTATGTTGTCTGTTTGTCAACTCAGAATTAATAGATCTTTTTCTTATTTTCAAGTGGGAAAAGGTGCATTTGATCTAGAACAGGGACATTTATTCATAGAGAAAAGAAGTTTTTTGACTAAAAAATATTGAAACAATCTCCATCCTCCTGCCCCCTTCATCTCAGTCATTCAGGATGTATTCACTCATGAAAATAACAGGATATTTTAGATAAAGATTCATTAAAACTTAAGGGAAGCAAAGCAGTAATTGAGAGACTCTGGTCTTGCAGCCTGATTTATATGGCCGGACTTTAGAGATATCCCATGTAGAAAGGGCACATAGTTCTCACAGTTTGCAGTGCAGTGCCTTCGTTGGCTAACAGTTAATCTGAGGTTGACCCACTGTGCTCTTGTAGGCAGTGTCTTGTTCCACTGAGGTTTGAGCATGTGCATTCAAGGAGGTGGTAGGCATTAGTAGCTTACTAATGATAAAAGATATAAATACAGCATTGATTTCAAGACATGAGAAACTTGCCAGGTGATGAGCTGTCTGGCTAGTGATCTTTTTGTCCTTTTAAACTGGATTGTGAGAGCTGACTGTATTGTATGAGACTTTCTCTTAATTTAAAACTGTGTCAAATATTTTCATTTGTACTGATGAGTACAGTTGACAAGTAAGGTGCTGAATCTTCATCTGCTCGTCTATTGTGCAGTGGATTTTGTAGTCTGTTGCACTGAGGGACTACTTATTTCTCAGCAAATATTTTAACCTCCAGAATGATGTGAAAGAAGCTCAAACCAGCCTCATTTTAATGAAGGGGGCATCTCTGAAGCCTATGTCGCTTTGCAAAAGGCTGCTGCGTGGATCAAAATGTGTTAGATGCTGTGAGGTTGCAGTCCTTTCTTGTGGTTTCAATTATTACTTTAAAAAAATATTTTTCAGATACATTAGAATAGGGGTTTTTTTTAGTGTAATGATATGAATTTCATCAGATTTACAAGGTGCTCATTAGAAAGATGGTCATTTTAAAGATGGTCTGTCTGCTCCTACAAATGACATGGCTTTGTTACTACTAAATTGCAATTGCCTGATCTGCTGAAGGTAAGGAGAAAGGGGTTACTAGCCTAGCTCTGCCAGCTGGAGGGGAACACAGTGGGAGGTGCAGTGGTAACAAATTAAGTTTGTGACTAGGATTGGGTGGAGATACCAGTTTCTTCCATGTTTATCGTGCTAGTTGTGCTGTAGTAAACTTCTTCAGGTTACTTGAAGGCATAGCTTTGATATGGACCTACAGAATTTTTTTTACACTTAATTCGGTCTTTTTTTTTTTTCCCCGGAGGACAAAAAAGTATTTAAGTGACGGTTTCCTACTTGTTTCATGTTAACATGACACTGCCATCTCTGCTTCTCCCAGTCCTTGTTGCTGTCCAAGAGGAAACCTCAGACCTTTACAGTGTTTTTCCTTAGTGATGTGTACACTGCACTGCATTACAGGCTACACTTTTTGTCTCAGTATTCATGTTTCTCACAGATCTTAGTTCCTTCATTTATTTCTCTGCATTATCATCACAGATACAGAAAACCTAAAATCATCTGGTCTTCCTTGAAGATATTTAATCTCTCTGAGACACCAAGGTCATTACAACCTGAAATGGTTCTTGTGCCCGAGAGATGAGCGCTGACCTTTACTCATCCAAATACAGATTTTGAATCAGGTTATTGTTCAGATACTGATAAAATACATTAAAGTGTAGTTACATCCCCCAAAAGGGAAACCAATGCTTCAAATACAGCATGTGGTTAGTTGTGACTTGGTTGGATTTTTTTCATGAATAAATGAGCCTTACATTCAGATAACCTGTTTGATATTAGCTTTCATTGTATTAATGACTTCTGTGCTTCCTGTAGTTTTGCAGTTACTTTTAAAACATTAGTCCTCCTGTAAATGGTGATGAAGAAGCAAAGGCTCACCTAGGAAGAAAAGGGAGTAAGAAGATATTGAAGTGTGACATGGATGTCAGCATTGCTGATGATGGCTGGCAGTGGCAGAGCTTTCCCTGTTCGTTCGTTAATGGTACTCTGAGCACACACCTTCATAAACCTCAGTGAATAAAATGCTTTGGTTATAAATTCATTTTCATGTGTAAATCATGAAAGAAATGGAATTTTTAAGCCAAACATGACATGAAAGGCCTTTTTCTCCAGTTTGTTATGGAATTAATTGAATACGACCTAAAAAGTTTGGGTTTAAAAAGTAATTTTTGAGTCCTCAAAATATTTGTTTTAAGTATCTAAGCAGTAAACTAATTCCAGAATTTCAGTTCTGTCCAAACAGCCAAACATGATGTGTTAGGTGAGAGGGAAGCCCTCATTTTTGCAAACAATATTATTTCCAGAAACGCAAAATTCAGGTAACACTGCAGTACAAGAAGGAGCTGGCTCTGCATCAAAGTTTTTTAGTGTTTAACACTGGTTTCTGTCGGAGCATATCTAGATTACTTTGCTGATTAAAATTTGTAAAGCCTTCAAGGGGTAGTCAAATGTTATCTGTGTCCAATCTCAGGTGCTGTCATGAGACTTCATAGCTTCTGAATGGAAAAAGACAAAGATAAATACCTAAACCAGAAGCTGTATGGGGGTTGAGAGTAGGCTACTAAAGGCCTCATTTCAATGGCTGAATTAGATAAACCTGTAATCTGTAAATTATTCTGCCAGCAGAGAAACAATGATGTCTTGAATATATTTTTAATATTGCAGAATTCAGTATTTTTGTGTGTATGGATGTTTTTATGCATGCATAAACATTGCGTACACACAAAAAGTAATGGTGCAACGCGTATGCATGCTTTTATGCATGCTTATCTTAGTTGTCTGCTAGCACTTGGCACAAACAGAACTATTTATTTCTCATCTTATGGGTGAAAGAACTTGGAGAAGAAAGTGGAAAATTTATTAGAGAAAATATTTTTTTATCCATTCTTGCTATTGTGTAGCACGCATTCAGAACATATTATAAACGTATTCTTTCCACTCCCAAAGGGATACAGATTTTTTTCTCTATTAAAATCTGATTTATAGCACAGGAATCAGATAATGCTTTATCTGATTTGACTCACCTGGCTGCTTGCTGATAACAGCTCTCATGTCTAATAAATACATAACAAAAAATCCAATAATGCCAGAATTACCCAGCATTCTTCATTAGGTCCTCAGTGGTGCTTTCATGGAAGGTGAATAAGAATGAAGGTAGAAATCAGCTGCACTGCTCATCGAAGAAGAGGTTGGCGGGTAATGGTAGGCTTTTTTAGGAAATGCCTCCTTTTTTAGGAAATTAACTGTAGAAAATAATCTTACCAACTAATTTACTCTTCATCCCTATGGCCTTTGATATGCTGTATGTCATACCTGCACTGAAAATGCCAGCATAAATATATAAACTGTGTGTGTATGTGATTGTGCTTTCCAGATGATTTTCATGAAGTTTGCTGCTTCTTTAGGCAGGAAGTTAAATTGCTGTAAAATGCTACCGTTCAAAAAAGCACCATTGTCATTTCACTTCAAAAGGCAATAGCAATAACAACAAGAGCAAGACCTTTCTCTAACTGTAGCAACAGAGCATCCACTGACTACTAACCTCACAGGTAGATAAACAAGATCCAAAATCTTTTTGATGCTGTTTACATTGTTAGTAAAATTGAAATGTTTGCGCTGGTTTTTTCACTGTTTTGCTTCACTGGAGTTTTGTTGACATTGCGTTGTGAATGGAACAAAAAGATTACGAAATCAGTGGTGTTTAATGTTTTAGGAGAATTCAGAGTCTAAAAGACTAAAGAAAATGGGCAACTCCTTAAAAAAAAAAAAAGTCAGAGGGGTCTGGGAAAGGCTATAAATTAAGATGAACAGGTGTCTGTATGCTAGTGAAGCTGTTTGTATAAGCACTCTGTAACCTGTTTCATAACTGAAATAGTTTATATGGCACATTTTGCTGCCCCAGTTCATTCTGACTGAGGCAAACTATGTGGTGCTTCCAGGAGTAGCTCTCTTCAGTGGCAGAGTTAAGAAGCTTCCCAGCTGGATTCACTTCTCCTTCCTTCTCTTCTTATGTTCTTCACTGGTAAAAAGACTCCTAGTCCATCAAGTGGGATCTATCTTCAGAGCTTCAGTGATGTATTTTTTCCCTTATTCATTACAGTTCTAAGACCCTGGGCAAGGCGAGGTGACAGAAATGATGCTGCTGCCCTGAAAGCTTCGGGTGGT